AGAGAGAGAGAGAGAGAGAGAGAGAGAGAGAGAGACAACATATCTCTCTCTCTCTCTCTCTCTCTCTCTCTCTCTCTCTCTCTCTCTCTCTCCCAGCCCCCGCCCCCCCCCCCATCCCCATGGGAAAAGGCCAGAAAGAGGTGAGAGAGCAGCCCGACATCAGGAGAGATCCACTTGCTAAAAAATAGAAGGGCTGAAGGCTAGAAATTGAAAGTTTGAAACAGGATAAGGAAAGAAGAGGGACGGACACATCGTGTCTTTTTTTTTCTTTTTTTTTTTTTGGTTTGCTTGTTTTGAAAAGGGTCTACGGCCTTGAGATATTATCATGCAATTGATATGTTGCAACTGTTGTTGCTGCTGCTGCAGCAGCATTTGCGGTTGTTGCAGCTCAAACAACTGCAGCTCATGATCTGCTCTCATCCCTACAGTGGATCTCACAATCAGATCAGCATCTCCTATGATTAGATCTAACACCTAGATCGGTACATCAGGTCTGATGTTGGGATCTCGAGCTTCAATTTATCATCAGAAAGGATGCAGTGATCTTATATGGGCGCTCATGACAAATTACAACCCTGAGATCTCATTCAGCTGACCCAGCAACAAATCTGATATTCAGATCTCAATGTGAGATCATATCCGGACATCAGATCCTATGTCTCCAAGAGATGATCAGATGTCAGGCGTGGAATTTATTTTCAGATTCCATGCTTGATATCTATCATCAGGTATGATATCATGATCATATCATCAGATCTGATCATTAACTCCAGGCATGAGATCTGACCGTTTCATCCTAAGATCAAAACTCGTGACCTCTAAGTTGCTACACCGATGAACTCTTGAAATACAGACACGAGTTTGAATCCAGATACCTTCTGGTGAAGACCTTAATGACAGTTCAATGCTCTGGGGACGGTCAGTTCAATGATGATATCTGAAGGCCGTTGCCTTTCTCAAATTGCAAATAACTGCCATCTTTTCGGTATTTGATGGCTTTTTTGTTTCCACTACAATAGCTTTAAGCACATTCTGAGTGTTGCGACCCATTCGTGCTTTTGTGTGCAGGTCTGGGACAATTCCGCTTATTCCAACGTGGGAACTCGCGGAATAGATCCTATGGTCATGGAGGCGGGAGAGGGAACAAAAGATGGAAGGGGAGGAGAAAGAGGACATGGTCCCAGGGTTTTCCGGGGAGGGATCATTTCGTCCATCGGTTATTTCACCTGTCCACACGAGCAGTCCGACCCATGCGCGTTACAATGTTCAAGTTCCTCCAGCTGATGCACATGGTTATCCTTCCTTGTCAGATTTGCCAGCTCCGACACTTCAGCGTTTAGTTGCTCAACTTGTAGAAGTTGTGCACCAAAAAGACAAAGATAAACAAGTGGAGATAGATCAGAGACAGAGAGACAGGGAGTATGAGTTGCAGCGAAAAGAGGTGGACAAGCAGCGGAGAAAGGATGAGGTTCAACGCCTTCTTCATGTATGTGTGTCATCAGCACTCCCTCTGCAGCACTTGAAGCACCCGCCCCCCTACTTCAGTGCCTGACCCTTGCATTCTAGCCTCTTGGGAGGCAACACGGGGGTCACTTCTATCCACACGTCCAAGGAAACGTGATGCAGCAGTTGCATTTGTCGAGCTTAATAGTGGTGATGGCCTTTTTGTTGATGGTTTTTGCTGGCTGCATCAACCGACGGAGTCATCCTGCTCCTGAGCCTCCTGTGATTAGAGATGGAGACCATTTTACAACTATGGATGCCATGCGTACTGCGCTCAGGCAATGTGCAGTGGCGGAGTCCTTCGAGTTTTACACCAAGACATCAAATAAGAAAGAGTTTTACGGCACGTGCTCGCATACGTGGACCATCAGAGCTCGCACCATGATGAAAGAAAATCCTTTAACAGTGAAGATCAGTGCACCCCACTCAGAGGCATGTCGTGCGATGAAGAAGACGGTGAATTGGCATGCTGATCAGAAATGGGCGGCGTCTATCCTCGTGGACCATTTGCGAGGCGGTTGTGATCTCACTACAGTGTCAAGATTTGATCAGCACCATCCACAAGGTGGTTCTTCATATAGATGGAGTACGCAGGGCAAGTCTCGCCGCCCTCTCGATGCTTCTGGGCGATCCCTGAGAGGGGTACACATTACTACCAGCTTGGTGCCGACTGTTTGAGCGAAGCAATCCGGGTTCAGTTGCGAGCTTCGAGTGCGATGAGGAGCGGAGACGTGTCCGCATGGTTTTTGCTTTTGGAGCATGCCTGCAGGTGTTTGTTCTCTGCCGTTCTTTTCTGGCGATTGACGGTACTCACACGAAAGGCTCTCTTCGGGCCGTTTTGGTTGCAGCAACAGGGATTGATGGCATTGGGCGTCTTTTCCCTGTTGCATTTGCCATCATTCCTGCAGAGCAGGGACTAAACTGGGTTTGGTTTATGTCTCGGCTGAGGTCAGTATTGGAGAACGTAGGAGCGAATCTTACAGATCTCACTATCATGACTGACAGAGGTCGCGGTCTTATGGAGAGTGTGTGGGATGTATTTCCGGATGCGCGTTATGGTCACTGCATGCGACACATTTTTGCCAACGTGTCAAAGGAGTGTCATGCTTTAAGGCGTTTTGGGAATCTCCTTATATATGCTGCACGTGCGAGCAGCACAGCAGTTTATGAGCATTGGCTTTCGGTTCTCCGTCAACATGCAGGTAATGAGGCTGTTGATTTCATGCTCAAGATTCAAGAATGCCCCTCCTGCGACATGGGCGACAACTTTGTTCAAAGGATGTCGTTACGGATGTCTCATTTTTGTCTCTTCAGGTGCCGTTTCGGACTTACAGCCCCAAGGGCGGACCTTGGGACTAGGTACACCAGAGGCAGGCCCGAAACGAGGCCAGGCGCCTTTTGGCGCCAAACCGGTAGGTACCGCCGTCGTTTCGGTCCTGCAGGACCCAAGACGACACCTTGGGCCAGGTGCACCGGTAGGAGGTCGTTTTTAGGCCAGGCGCATTTCTGCGCCATGCTGCATCAGCAGCAGGGTCTTGACGTCCGGTAGGGACTCAGACCACCTGGGTCGTTTTCTGAGGCCAGCACCAGGTAGGCCCAGCGGCCCAGAGCTACAAATAGCTGGGCAACGGCTGGGCAGGGGACGGTTCGAGTAGCTCACTTCTGGGCGACACGCTGCTGGTTGGAGGCTGCGCTATGCTGCGCTAAAGTTACGGAGTTACTGTAGAGAGTAGGGCATAGGAGAGATAGGGAGTGGCGGAGGCCATACCTGCAGTCGGCGAGCTTACCTGGCGCCATACCTGAGCTCCACGCGGCACCTGACACGACAGAGGACAGTCAGTTCGGTGACAGCTACCTGCACGTGAGATAGCAAGGAGGTCTTCCTCTTCTTCTCTCCCTCCTCCATCTCTCTCTCTCTCTCTCTCTCTCTCTCTCTCTCTCTCTCTCTCTCTCTCTCTCTCTCATCTCATTCCTTCCTCCTCCTCCTTATCTCTTCTTCTTCGAATCTGAGAGTGTGAGAGGTTGTCAGTAGGGATTCAGGCAGAGGTTATGCCGGGCGCATCGCCCAGGATCTGATTCGACATTTCTGAGACAGACATTGATTGGACACTCGGCAAGGGACTATTTTTTGGACTTCGCTATTGCGATCTTGGTCTACTCCCTCGCCTCCTTCCTCCTCGTCTCGTCCCTCCCCCATCTCTCATTCGTGGTATCTCCCCATGTATGTGTGTGCAGGAGGGACCTTTCTTCCATGTGTGCGGTCCCTCCTCCCTCTCTCACCTGTGTGATGTGTGATGGATGTCGGGTCAGTCCATATCAGATCAGATCTTCTCTTTAAGTCTTCCGCTGTGCCATTTTGTGCCATCTGTATGTGTTCGGAATGTACATTGCTTGTTGATGCTACACTGACCTTGCATTGTCCATTGCTGTCATTTTCATCACATAGCGGATCCTTGGCTCCCTGCGCATTGTCCCACTGGACATGCGCCAGTTTTGGTATCGGAGCCACGCGTGTGAATCAGGACGAACCTGATCTGACGCGAGCGCGGGACAACCCAAGATCGATTGGGTACGTCGGGATTGATTGATCGATTGACCCTGGGTTAATTGATTGATTGATTGATTAACCCTGATTGATTGATTGATTGATTGGTTGATTGATTGATTGATTGATTAGGGCACATTAATTAGTCCCCAAAATCGCAGATTCCAACCTAACTGGCAAAGTCGAAATTTTTTCTCCTCTTTGGATTTCGTTTTCCCACTTTTTTTTTCTTGTGGTAAATCGCAATAGCAGGGCATCCGAAAGTTTCGTTTCTGAACTCGAAACTTCGTTGCTGGAAAACCGAAATACTGCACCTTTCCGTTATTTCAAGAAATCCCACGATTTTTTTTTGAATTCGTCATTCTTCTGAAATTCAAAATTTCGCGCCATAGAAGTCCGGAAATTCTTTCTGAAAAGTTTCGATCATATTCCATTACGAAAATTCCCGTTATCCCAATTTTTTTCTGAAATTCGTTTTTCAGTTCCGAATTTTTTTTTTCTGAAATTCGTTATCATTTCGAAAATTGTCCTTTTTCAGGAAATTCCTCCTGCAGTTAATTGTTTTAAACTGCGCATACTCTCACCTAACATATTCCGAGTTTTTTTCTATCTCAGAATTGTCTGGACTTGCGGAAATTGATATTTTTTTGTTACCATTTCGCAGTTCAGTTACTCTCATCATCTCCATTTTTGATATTCTGATTCATTTGCAGTCTGAAATTCGATTTTTTTTTCTTTTTTTTTCTTCGAATTAACTGCTGAGGGGATACTTCAAGGGCCCACCGAACTTACAAATTCGAAATTTTCCCTTTTTTTTGAAATTTTTGCAAAAGGTCCAATTTTTTTTTTTTTGATTAGTGGCTCCATATCTGGGCGACCCACTCGATTGCCCACTCCCCTTCTCTCCACCCCAACTCTCCATCCCTTCTCCGTCCTCTTACCTGCAGTTGCAGACCTGGTAAGTCCTCACTTAAGCAGGCCACGTCAGGGACCTGCAGCGCATGACCATACTTACTCGCTCGCAGACAGCAGCGATGGATCAGAAAGCAGGCGAGTCTGACGAGGCCTATGAGGCACGTTTGGCGGCCATCATAGCCGAAAGCAAGCAACGGGCCGACGCAGCAGCAGCAGCACGGAAGAAGAGAGAGGCAGAGGCAGATAGACTACATCTTCTGTCTGAAGAACAGCGACAGAAGCACGAGGCAGCAGCAGCCAAGGCCGCTGATGAAGAACGTGTCCAGCGACGCGAAGTCATATTTAGAGAGGAAGGTGCATTACATGCACACGCCAAGGACTGGCAGAGGGAGGCCGAGAGCGGCGAATCCGTCGACTACGGGAGCAGGGTATCTCATCTGCTCAACCGTATCACGGACCTCCTTGCGACTTGTATCGCGCAGCAGGAGGACATCCACTCCCTCGACCACGCCAACAAGGTGTTACAGCAGTCGGTGGACCAGATGCTCAAGCGCATACAGCAGCTGGAGCAGCAGGTCGCCACCGCCAACACCAGCATCAGCCCCTCCGATCTCGTCGACCACGTCAATGTCTTGGAGATAGACATGGGAACACTTAAGACTGGGGAACAGCAGCTGCAACAACAGATTTGTGCAGCGGTCGGCCCTAGCGCAACGACATGCGAAACTATTGCCAAGTTCGATGGGCTCCCGATCTTCTGTGACGCATCGAAGACCGACCCCATCCAATGGTGGCGCCAGTTTGAACTCAAGCTGGACATCCACCACTTCATCGACGCGAACCGACATGCATATTTGTACTCCCGCTCGGGAGGCGCGTGTCAGGCATGGTTGGACAACATGCTGTCCGCACATGCATGTACAGTCACCGAGTTGCACAAATACATCACCTGAGCAGATCTCACGGCGGCATGGAAGAAGCGTTTCCAAGTAGAACCGCCCGAGCACCAGGCGATAGACAAGCTGCTGACGTTTTCGCAGAACAGCATGCCAAGTGGAGACTGGATATCTGAGTTTCAACGGCTGGCAAGCACGCCCAAGTTGCCAATGAACTTCGATGGCATCAAGCTTTACTTCATCAAGAGGTCGTGCCCAGTGTTGCAGAATGCGTTAACTCAAGTCGCCGAGAACCTCAACACAAGTGAGGAACTCTTCAACAAGGCCGCGCAGATCATTGTGACGAATTTGGCAGCCCGAAAGACGGGCCACTCGTCGACTGCCGGCGAGGGCGCGAATCAGCATCGGCCGAAAGTGGTCGTGGTCGCAGCAGCAACGCCTAGCGACCCTTCAATTTTAAACGAGGCTATTTCGTCTGACGAGGGAGACAGACTCGCAGCTGCCCAGAATGGTGGCCGCCCCGCCAAAGGACGAGGACGCGGCAAGCCGAAGACAAACACCACTACTTCTTCTGGACCCGGGCAAGCAGCTCCAGCTCAAGGACCTTGGACATCATTTGGTCTGACGGAACGCGGATATCGCGTCCGCACCAAGTACCGCTATTGTTTGTGGTGCAAGAACTCAGCACATGAGACAGCGAGCTGTCCCACGAAGGCCAAGGGTACCGCCCAGTTGGGAAAGTGAGCACCGTCGAGAGTGTTGCGACGACAATCTCGACGCCTACTGAACCGGTTGCCGTACGAGTAACCTTCCTCGGTTCCGGGGCACATGCGGACGTCGTAAGTCCTCCCACTCTTCATTCTTTTGAGGACTATGCTGCCCGGCTCGTACCTTCACTGAATTTACGAGCCCATGGACAGGATGTATGTGCGGTTTCTTCCGATCGGAAGCAGCAGCGTTAATTCGTCTTCAAGTGGACCTTCACAGGATTTGGGGTGCGCGTTCAACATAGAGGACTTGGACCCGTTGACGCCCGAGGATTTTGCATGGCTTCCTCTCCCTTCCACCGGCTGCTTACCGGAGCCGCAATGCGCAGCTCTTAGCGCTCATCTCCATACATACCTAGCCTTCTATGCACCACCAACTTCGCCGACGGAGGACGAAGTACCGGTGGGGGACATTCTTGCATATGTGAGCAAGGTGGGAGTTTCGCACGGAGCGGTACGACGACAACAACACACCGCTCCTTTATGTCCACATCCAAATCGGGCAAGCTTCCTACAACGCTTTGCTGGATAGCAGCGCGACTCGCAATTTCATTAGTCAGTCCTTCATGCAAAGGGCCGGCCTTGGACCACAAGTTCGAAGGAAGGCACACCCGATGTCGATCAAGTTGGCGGACAAAAGAACGCAACAACTCCTTGATCGCTACATCGAAGCTGTCCGGGTTTATTTGACACCTCATGCATGCGAACCGGTGACGTTTGACGTCTTGGACACGAACTTCGACATCATTCTGGGCATGCCTTGGCTTGCAAGTGCGGATCACACAGTCAACTTCCATCGGCGGACACTTACGGTTCCCGACGTGTTTGGCGCCGAAGTACCATGCACTATTCCTCTCCCGCACCCTTCGATCCGGTGCCAAGTTGTAACAGCCAAATCTTTTCGGGCCACTTGCGCTTACGAGCGGACCGAAGAGATAGGCTTATGTTTTCTTCGAACCCGTCGCGGTAGCCGACTCTCCACCCACGGATTTGTCTTCGGACCCCCGGCTGGTGCGGTTGCTCGACGAATTCGTCGACGTCTTCGAGTCACCTATCGGCGTGGTGCCAAATCGGCCGATCTCGCACGAGATCATTCTCGAGGTTGGTGCCGTGCTGCCAAAAGGTCGCATTTACCGCATAAGCAAGGAGGAACTTACAGTACTCCGCGCGCAGCTCGATGACTTGTTGGACAAAGGCTAGATCCGGCCTAGCAGCTCACCCTATGGTGCACCGGTTCTCTTCGTTCGGAAGAAGAACAAGGACTTTCGCCTATGTATCGATTACCGCAAGCTCAATGCGCAAATCGTCAAGAATGCGGGACCTCTTCCTCGAATTGACGACCTTCTGGAGCGGTTGGGCGGCGCAAAATTTTTTTCCAAATTGAATTTGAAGTCGGGATATCATCAGATCTCGATTCGGCCGCAAGATCGCTACAAGACCGAGTTCAAGACACGGTACGGGCACTTCGAGTGGGTCGTCATGCCTTTTGGACTCACCAATGCCCCGACGACTTTTCAAGTGGCGATGACCAACGAGTTTCGTGCAACGCTGGACCTGGTTCGTGCTGGTCTACTTGGACGACATCCTCGTCTATAGCCGGACCTAGGAGGAACATCTTGATCATCTTCGACGAGTGTTGGAGACACTCCGGCGCGCCAAGTTCAAAGCCAACCGCGACAAGTGCGAATTCGTACGCCAAGAGTTGGAATACTTGGGCCATCTCGTCAGGGTTGTCAACCCCCGGGCCCGGGGCACCGGCGGGGGTCCCAAGGGTCAGGTGTCGGTACACCCGGCCCCGGAAAAAAAACAGCTAAAAAATAATAATAATAATAAAAAAAAAAAAAAAAAAAAATCAAAAAAATACTGGGGGGTGTGCACCGAGGCGGCACATCCCCTGGCAATTTCTGGTTTTTCCAAAAATCAGGGGTCCTGCACCCCCTCCCCCGGGGTGGCTGCCACCTGTGGAGGGGGTCGGGTTTACGGGGGGCG